TTTAACTCATGGAATTTGAAGTTTTGTTAGGTTTCAATATTATATAGCCATTCTTTATTCAGTGGACCACAAATAAATAAAGCTGAAGTATATTGCACAATAATATTCCATATTCCAAGAGAAAAGAACTTCAAAAACGAAAAAGTGTGGAGATTGTAGAAAAATGCTATTTAATTTTAGAATCTTTAGATTCAAATCTTACTTTGCACTAGAAAAGATAAAAAGATCCAAATATTACCAAGGCACATTTAAAATGGGTTTAATGAAGAGAGAATAATCTCCCCATTAGGTATTCCAAGTATTGAAAAAATAATATGCACTTCATAAGAATATATGGCACATACATCAATTTTACTTTTTTATTTTATTTGTGTGCAAAAAAGTATCTAACAATAATAATGTAATAATTAAAATTGTTAATGGTTCTTGGTGTATTCAAATCTGTAGTTGTCACTTATTCAAAAATGAAGCAATAATGTTTGCCATTATTGGTAAAATAATGTATTTTTTAAATGCAGATAAATAGCAACTTTTGCATTTGTGGCTTCTATAAAATCAAAATAATTAAATATATATAAAAACATTTATTTTTCTAAACTCTTGATATAACATATACATCATACACCACGAATTTTGTTTTGCTAACATGAGTTTAATTTTATGGCTCACTTTTGTGTCAAAGGTTTTGGTCTTGAATTTGACATTTCATGCTTCAAGTATATACTACTATTATTACTTTGTAAAATTAATGAAAAAGCATAACACCCTTGAATAATTTTTCATCAAATATCCACTAAATAAAAAATCCATTGAAACATATAAATAACATAAAAGTATGACACATAATTTTATTTTTTTTTACACCTAAAAATATTTTTGTAGACACCTACGTTTTAATGTCTTAAATTGAATATATTAAGATTACGAAATTACGACTCTCAAGTATCGGAATTTACCATACGTTTATCTCGTGAGCAAGTATATGTTATTATTAAGACAATATAACAATGTTCATAATTTAAAATATTTTTATTCATAAAAACAACTATTAGTTTAATTTAGCGGTGTGGTAATAAAAATAAAAATGATGAATATGTGTACGTGTCGATCTTAAAAAAAACAAGAATAAAAAATGATTGAAAGAACATAAAGAAAGAAGAACATAAGTAATATATTTTATTTGATGCCAATTCCTACATCAACATGGAGAAATCATTATTTTGGCACAGTTTTGATGATTTAATTAATCTGACTCTGAATTTGCTGAAAATTCTTCTATCACAATTTCTTACTTATAGGAAACGAAAAATATATAAAAAAGTGGAATAATGGAGGATAAATAAGGGAAATCATACACATATTTACATCTCATGGTTTGATAATTACATTGGAATTAACTATTTTGTATATTATTATTTTTTAATATTTTAATATATACTTATGAGTCTTACCCAATAATAATTTACAATACTATTATATTTTTTCAGTTTATCGAAATATTTTAAGTTTTAAAACATGTAATATTTTGTAAAATATCAAGTTATTCTTATTTTTAAACGATATATATTGTATTTTATTTTATCAATTTTGTACATGTATTTATTTTTCATTTCATAACATCATAATAATTTTTTTTTAATTTTTCTAATGAAATAATAAAAATAATTATATTTATTTGATAGAAATAATACTATTTTATGAATCCTAAAACATATCATTAAAAAAAATTAGAAGACGTAAATGCTAAGAGCAAAATGAACCGCACAAGTGCTTGCGGCACCACGGTTTCAAGGTTTTAACATAAATGTTTGGTTGAATGAAACATTTTTCACATGTTTTTTCACTTTTACAAACCAACAATTTATGTTTTCTCAGCCGCAATCATTACTTGTAATGGGTTTTTCCTCAAATAGGTTTTGTTGGGGAACTACTTTAGATCTCACAATATCTTTCCTTTTTTATATTCCATTCTGCATTCATTTTCAAATAATTATAATTGGCTAAATAAAGGTGATGGGTCATTACTATTTTCATGATATGTGGCAGAATCTTGAAGGGATAAACATAATCATTTTCCATTCAAAACGAAATTTTTAAAGAGAATATTTTATAATTTTTTTAAAAGATGGTTAAAAAATTTATAATAATAAATATAATTATCAATCCAAACTGAGCCACAAGCCACAAACACCACTAAAGGAAGTTATGAACATTAATTAAATAGTACGTAGAATGAGTTTATGACATTTTACTACTTTAAAATATTCAACCATATTAAAAAAATATCGATTCTCATGTTTTTAAAAAATATATTTTATTTAATATTCTTCATCTTTTTTTCTTTATTCTTGCTATTATTGTCTTTATTCCTTGTTCTTATTTTATCTTCAAATATTTCAATATTTGATACTAAATTTATTTTAAACATTTCATTAATTAAGATCTTATATTGAATTGTATTTGTGATTACAAATATCTCAAATTTGTGGGAAAGTTTCAAAATTTTCCTTTTATATTTATTCTTTTCATTATTATTATTATTATTATTATTATTATTATTTATTAGATATATACATATAGTGAGAGAAAAAAATCTATTTATTCCAAAAAGCAAGAGTTGGAGACTTTTTCTTATTTATTTTTTTATAATTTAATAATTTAAAATAGTAAATTAATCCTTAAATTATAAAAAAATAATGATAAAGATATTCCTACTCTTATTTTAAGAATAAATTGATCACTCCTTGTAAGTACGTGCGTGAACGATGAATAATAAGATCTTAAATATATGTAAGAAATGATGAGATGAATAAGAATATTAATCTATAAGATTTAGAATTTGTCATTAAAATATGTAGATCTTGTATGAATTATGTGCATGATACGAGAAATATGTTATTTTTCAAATGCATTACGAGTTGGTAGGGGATGTGATGAAGGGTTATAGGAACCTAGTCATAAAATTGATGATACTTGTTGTGGAAACTTATAAGCCTACGTTGATGTGAGTTAAAGCTTACAAGTAAAACCAAGAAATCTTGATGAGTCACCAAGATATACTTCCTAGTGGAGAATGGGAGTGTAGGGTACCTTTAGGGTTTGTTTGGTTGGAGTGATTTGAGAGAGTGGAATTGAGAGAGTGGAAAAGGAGGGATTTGAAGAGAAATGGAGATGATTGAAAAGTGAAAGGAAAGTTTATGGGAAATTGTGAATGATTTGATTGATATGAGATATAAAAATTATAATTTTATGTTTATTATTTAAGAAAATTACCATTTTACCCTTTGTATCAAATAAGGTTCAAATGATTATAAATATAATTTTTTAATTAATTATCCATATTTTAACATTGATTATATATTTAAAAGAAAAAAAAATTTAAAGTGTTTGTAATTGGAAACAAATTTAAAAAATTTACTTTTTTTAGATAGTTATTACAAATTATATAAATAAACAATTACAAAATTATGTACATTGCATATCCATATTCAAATAATGTTGACATATTAAATAAATTATTTGACTAATAATTAAATAATTATAAAATATAAAATAATAATTAATATTGATTGATAATAACAAATAATTATGAAAACTAATAATATAATTGTACATTATTATTTAAAACAAATATAAAATACAATGAAAATAGAATAATAATTAAAGGAAAGATTACTAAAATTATAAATCTATGCACACTAATGTTTTTCAAACAAATAATTATAATGTTATCCATCTTTTGTAGTCAAGTCCTCCGAGTTCGGATCATTCAATCACCTCCATTCAAGAACATGAACAACTGGGACAGACGAAGATGTGAGGGCAAGCCAAAAAGTCGTCTAACATGTGATGGGTGAGTACACAAATGATTATAACATCTGAAGCATAAGTTGCTCGTCATTTAGGTTCATGCCGACTAACATGTCCCATATATCTGACTCCGAATGTTGAAATGTTGATGATCATCTCATCACATTAACTTGCTCATTAATTAATTCATTTCTGCGTTCAATGGCGATCACCTGTCTTTCAGCTATGTCAGATAATCGTTGGGTGATTGTATTACCTTGCCCGAGGTAATCTGTAAATGTGTCCAGCCTCGATGTTAGTTTTTCAAATTGACCTTCCATCACATCAACCATAGGCGCTTTTCTTTTTGTGCCCCGAGATGAAGAGGTTCCACCCGAACCAGATGACGCAGCGAGATGGAATTGAGTGAACACCCTCGGCAGGACTCGTCGGAACCCATGCGTGGAGGTGATCGATAAGTCGTATCAAATCCCGCATCAAAGCCAAAGTGAAATGGTCTGCTCCTCGGTGTGGGGTCCACATCAACGTTCAAGTCGATTGTTGCCCTTCGAGAACTGATATTCATTCGGCCTGACGCGAAGTTCTTGCCATATGTCCACTGGCTCGATCAGCACCCCACAATTCTTCCATCAAATCATAATGTCTTATAGTTGCCAGTTTCCATTTAGCTGCAGAAGGCTTCGCCTACAAAATAATGAGAATGGTTAACACTGGTAATTGTTATGTTTTGCTATATCAACAAATGATAATCCATATAATAGTACCTTAATTAGGTCATCCCATACTTCTATTTCGCTTCGCTTTTTTATCTCACTTTGTATATGTGAAATCATGTTTATATCCAGACCAGTATCTATATCGTCATTGTCTAAACCAATGACCTCGATGTTTTTGTATCGCTATCTGCAAATATATATATATATATATATATATATAATTAATTAATTAATTAATTAATTAATGTTTAATGGAAGTAATTCAAAATTGACATCTGCAAACCAAGTATCACAAAACCAAAAATCTTATTTACAAAACTACTAATAATTTTTTTCCTCTAATTTTTTTCCTCTAATATTTTTACTAATAATTATTTACAACAACTTCTTATAAAATGCTTATACCTATTGTACCAGATCAAAAAGAAATTGGAAGCGTCATAAATTTATCATATGTAAGTATTGTCATATTACTTATACCTAAAAATGCTTAGATTTCAGAATTTAGCATTATCCAGATCAAAAGTACGGCAATATTCTTAAGCAGGTTATACATGTCAATACAGATCTTACATATAGAATGGGACAACAAGCTTGGTACCTTGTCTTCAATCCCGCGACTCGATTCCGTGGCAAAACTTTCGATCCAACAATGAGCGAGTGTTAACAAATGTCCGATAGTCTTTCGAGATCTCGCAAAAATAATCTCATTTTTTGTAAGTAAAAATAATGTAATTTTTTCCTCTAAGATACGACTGCAACAACAACATAACCAATGCACAGGTCAGAAACCATGGTCGTATGGTGCACATTTTTTGTTGCAGTGGAGGAGGTTTGGCCATGTTTTATACCTCAAATCTGAATGGTCACACAGACTCTTATGCATGCACACAGACTCCAAAAACAAACGTACCAACCAAGTTTTATGTTCCAACCATGACAGAGAAGACACAGAACCATACACGGGGTGTTCCTCCGACAATATACGAAAAACAAACGTACCAACCAAGGTGGCGCGGCGAAGATCCAACCTACAATGAGTAGCTTTGCTTTGCTTTGCTAGAGTCTTTTAGCTAGTCTTATGAGACTAGCTTTGCTTTATATAATACAATAACTTTCCCTATCGAGTCGTAACTACGGAAGAAAGAATAAGTCTTGTAACTTCTATCAGTCGTGACCACGTGAAGTTGGTGCATGCGGCCGTGACCATCTGCATGTACGGCCCGTGAGCACTGCACTGTCATGACCCGTGACCACTGCACTGTACGGACCTCGTTCATGACTTACCTCCTTCTGTCGTGTTTAGAATATATAATTTGTCAAATGATCAAGATTTTAGATAACGGTTCCAGTAATAACCGCTATTACAAATATATATAAGATAGCGGTTAAATTGGACCGCTATTATATATACGCTTTTAAGAGCGGTTACAAAGACAACCCCTCTTAAAAAGTAACCTGTGATAGCGGTTATATGTTAACCGCTACCTAAAGTTTTCAAATGATCGATTATTTTGCCAACATGATCGATCACATTTCCAAAACCTCGACACTTTAGATAGCGGTTCACCTAAAACCGCTATTACAAGTTATATTTCGCTTGAGCGACACTAAACTCGCTCGAGCGAAGACACTCGCACATAATTTTCATCCTCGGGTTGTTTTTCGCTTGAGCGAACTGATCTCGCTCGAGCAACTAGCAAAGATCTCAGTGATTTGATGAAGTCAAAGATAAAGTCAAAAGTCAACTCTGCAACAGTCAAACAAGTCACTCAGAAGAATGGAGCTGTCTTAACAGAAAGCTTAGGTAAAGCGAATTTCAATCGATTAAAATGACTTGAAAATTTTTGTACAGAGTTTAAATCGATTAAAACGCATTTCAATCGATTAAAATGACTTACAAAAAATTCTGTGCAGGTTTTTAATCGATTAAAACTTCTTTGTATCAGTTAAAATAACTTGAAAAGTGTTATAAGAAAGTTTTAAACTGAATCAATCGATTAAACCGCGAATCAATTGATTAAATCACTCTTAGAAAATGTTTGTAAAAAGTTTTAACTGATAAAAACTTGGTCGTATCAGCTAAAACAATTCTGTTAAAGAACAAGAACGCATTAATGGGTTGAAAGGACTTTTAACACATTATAACGGCTATTTCAACAGATTAAAACAAACTTTCAACAGATTAATTAATGCAGCTTTTTCTGAAAACTCTTTTATAAACAGAATTGCTTGGAACTTTTATCATATCAGTTTTTAAAAAAACAAAGCAATCAATTTATTGCCTTTGCCCCCACGCCAGCTTGCTCTCTAATCCCACTGCTGATTGGATTGAACTGAAAAAAGCGGAGCTTAGGTAGGCTACAGCAACTCTCAAAGCGTGAGCTCATAAGCCGTATTTCGCTCGAGCGACTATATCTCGCTCGAGCGAAATACGATCCTGATCGATCATAAGTTGAAATTATCGATCATAATTGGAGGATATAATAGCGGTTCCTCTGTAACCGCTATCTAAAGTGTATATTAGATAGCGGTTAAGGTTTAACCGCTATTATAAGCTCCTTTTAAGAACCTTGTTGCGTGCTGGGTTGTGTTTCGCTTGAGCGACTATATCTCGCTCGAGCGAAATTTGATTCTGATCGATCATAACGTGAAATGATCGATCATAATTGGAGGATATAATAACGGTTCCTCCGTAACCGCTATCTAAAGTGTATATTAGATAGCGGTTAAGGTTTAACCGCTATGATAAGCTCCTTTTAACAACCTTGTTGCGTCTGGGGTTGTGTGTCGCTTGAGCGACTATATCTCGCTCGAGCGAAATTTAATATAATAGCGGTTCCTTTGTAACCGCTATCTAAAGTGTATATTAGATAGCGGTTAAGTCTTAACCGTTATTAGAACTGCTGTTATAATAGCGGTTAGGCTTTAACCGCTATCATATATTGCAGGGTAACTGCGACTTTTCATTACTTTCATCTCTTTTCTTCGCACCTCAGCGAAGAAACTCTCTCTCTCATCTCCCCCTTTTCCTCGCCTGCATTTCATCGCAAATTAGTTCAACCAAACGTGTGTGAATGTCGTGTTTCCGTCTTCGTGAATAGTATTTCGTCGCAAATCAGTTCAAACAAACACGGTGTTAATGAGGTCATTTTTTTTTTTTTTGACTCATTGTATTTCTAGGGTCATTTTATTATTGAGATTTGTACCCTCTAATAGATTTATTGTTTTACACTTTTGGTTACAAAATTTTATATTAGTACAATTATTTATTTTAACTGGGTCATTTTAGGTTATTTTCTAGGCAATTATTTAATGCTTACTCTTTAGTAGTATTATGCTTTTCAAAATAGTTGACTTATGAAAGTTAGCAAATAATGAATAGGAAAATAAAATCACCCATGGAAACACACTTTTAAATAGTAACATTAATCTACCATTTTAATCTACTTTAATATCTAAATGTATAAAATGTAAAAGAGATTATAATAATATGCTTAAAGATATATTTTTAGGTAAAATTTATTCAATCATAGAAATAAATGAGTAATTTAACCTAAACATAATTATGATATGTAATATAATATGATAAAAAATTATAAACAATAACAATATTAAAATAATGAATAAATTAAAATATTTGTCCGATTTACTCAAATTATAGTCATATTTCTACTTTGTCATCCTTACACTTATCTCTATTTTTTAAAATATAATGTTTTTAAAAACTTATATAAATATAAATAAAAAATAATTTTTAATATTTTTAGAAGTTACTAAATCCATAAAAACATAAATTTAGAATTTTAACATTAAGTCAAATTTAATAAAATAATATTTTATTTTATAAAAACATAAATTTAGAATTTAAAGATTTAAATCAAATTTAATAAAATAATATTTATAATATAATAAATATATAATAATTATTATTATTATGTTTTTTAATAAAAAAAATAATAATTAAAGTTACTAATCCAGAAGTTATAATTAGTTTGCAAGTAGAAACCCCAAACCGACTTTTCCATCTTAAAAAGTTTGAAGGCATTTCTTGTTGAACACTCATCTTTCTAACACGTCCCACTTTCACCTCTTTCTGTCATTTCCTTCTCCGACACACAATTATTTCAAAAATATTGACCCTTTTACGTTCAAAACTAAGAAAATTAATTGAATCAAATTCGTAAATTCCAAGCCACCACAAACCAACTACGTGGAAACTAAATAAATGAAGGGATGATACAAAACCCTACATCATGATTTATTGTCTAGTGTTCAATAACATATCATCCTCAACACTTTTTTTAATTTTTAATTGCGTATTTAACTTCCCCTTTTGTTTCTCATGGTTGAAAACAAAAGGTTAAAAAAAAGAAAAACATAAATAACTTTTCAAATGTTATAATAGCGTTTGAAATTATTGATCACGAACTCAAGGGATGAATGGTATATATCACAATTGATGATGACTAAAATCATAAAGAAGAGAAAAAGCCTTGTTTCTTTCCTTGTTCAGAGGGATCTAAAGTGAAAAGGGGAAGAAAGAGATAGAAGAAGCATGAAATTTGGAGAAAAGGCAAGGGATGGAAGAAGAAAGGGAAGTAACGAAGGAGGGTTGAGAGGAAAAAGTAAAGATAAAATGAAAATACATGCTCCCATTGATGGTGATAGGTTGAGTCTAAAGAACAACAAAAACCCTAAAAAAGAAAGTAATAAGAGGAAGAAGTTATAGTGGGTAGTTGTAGAAAAGAGAAAAGTTCAAAGGAGTCAAACTAGAAGGAACCCTAAAAGTTCACAATTCTTTGTGTTGAAGCTACGTATTTTATATGTATCCCTTTTGCTCTTTTTGGTATCCGATACAAACTCTAGATTCGGACGATAATAAACTTGTAAAAGTTCAAGATTCTCATTCTATTATTGATAAGGATCATTGTTAAAAGATTTCTATTTGTTCATATAAAATGATAACGTGAAGTTTATCACAAAGTTTGGATTCAAATATAGGGTTTTGTTCTCATATATTTGCACTGTAAAACAAGTTTATAGTATGACGCAATCATAAATATTGTTAAAGTAATTTATACAATAATTTTTAAACATAAAAATTGTCATTTACAATATTAAAAATATTAAACTCAATGAGTACGTACATTGTCAGAGTTAACAGATCAAGAATTAAAAATACCCCATTAGTCATTTTCTTTTTCATTATCTATATATACTTAAAACCTTTTCAAATTATTATTAATTTATAACAAATTTCGAAGTTAAATCTTATCACAGATACTCACAGTATCAAGATCCAATTAAATTTATAATTGACAAAAAAAGAATTGAACTATTTTGTTACATTTTTATAAACAAAAAATCGTGTTTGATAAACAAACATTATTATTATAGTTTTAACATATTTTAGACGCTAGGTGAAGTAATGTTTATTTAAAATATTTGTTTCTAAATTTTTATCAATGATGATGAGAGATAAAGTCACCAATATTTATAATATGGTCTCATAATTTACAAAAAAAAAAATTGCAAATATTTATGATTATATTAGAAGTGTGGAAATTAAAAACAAAGTCGAAAAGGACTAAAGTTATATAAATTTAAGTCTCTTTGTATTAGATCTTTGAATATGGAAAGGAATAATATTCTGTCATTACTCATATTCAAAATGGTGACCCTTAGACATATGTGTTCTCAATTTGGTCAACAAAAAGAGTATTTAAGTAAAGAAATTAAATAAATAAAAAACATTTCACCGAGATTGTTCTTAAAAGTTTTCTTATATCAATTTTATTATAATTATATTGTATCTTGTTTTAATTTTTGATTTTTTTCCTTGAATTCTTATTATTTCACAATTTCTTTTATATTGATATTAAATTGTGATCATTACAACATCAAACACATGATCGTTGTTGATATTCTTGATTGAAGCTAACAAATTTTGACAAATTAATGAATAGGTTATGATAAGAGTTGTAGTGGTATAGAATGATCATATTTAATAGAATTTTCTTTGAACATGGTAAAAAAAAAAGATGCTATTGTGGTTGTAACGACCCTAGAAATCGCTACTATAACGATGTCTTCGCAAAGTAGTAAACAAGTAAATAACATCTATTTTACATTATATTATTGTAATTGTAACATGTATTGAAATTCCAGTTCACTAACAGAACTTCAAAATATAGTAACATGATTTATTTATTATACATGTAAAAGTATCTCCCTCGAAGCTATCCCACTGAACTATCCCTGCTGTCCAGTAGTCACA